TTGTGGTCTTGGAATATTCATTGTATTATTTTCGAGTTTTCTGTACAAAGAAGACCGTTGTTTACTATAGTGCTGTTAGATTCATTTCCAAAATCTCTAACATCGATGTAAATGGAGTTGTGATTCGAACCTGCAATTGCCAATAAAACAATGGAAAAAAATTCTTATAATTATAAACAAGAGACCCGATCATTTTTGGTTTTCAAGTCTGACATGCTTTCCGTCAATAGCTTTCAAACAATTTGGAAACTGGCAGTATTGTTGAATACCTTCAGCAACCGTTTTCCACCGTTTTTCCGTTAACTCGAGAAAGGATTCTGGTAGTAAACATTCCCAAATCGCCATGCAAACTTTTCTCAAAATCATTCCGATTGTTGTATGTCTTATTCTGTATGTCAAATGCAGATCAATCTTCTGATCGCATCCACTACCCAAATATCTGCAACAAAGAGAAAAATATACTCATGGTTCAGAAATGATTTGTTAAGAATATTGGAAAAATATATACCCGTTGTATAAATTTTTCAACATATTAAAAAAATTGCTTATTTTCATATCTATTATACATATATTCTTTTTTTTTCAGGCAGAAAGTTGATTAAAAAGTGGAGGAACATAAGAGCTAGCTATTCCAAAAGTTTAAAGAAAAAAACCCAGTCTGGACAGGCTGCTGACAACACGAAGAAATACATTTATGCTAGGCAGTTATCCTTCCTTGGATCTAGTGGGGCCACAACTGAAACTCAGTCCATCTTAGCAGGAACTCACGAAGATGAAGATGTTGCTCAATCTGAAAATCAATCTGAACAAACAGTCGAATCAGAGGGATCAGAACGTCCAAAATACGACCAAGGGAGTTCAATGAAACGTAAACGAAACCTGGAGTCCGCATTGATAGACTTCATGACGAGGCCTACGTCTACGCCTCCTCCAGCTTCACAACCTGATCCGGACAGATCGTTTTTCGAAAGCGTCCTTCCCTCAATCAGCAAATTTGACGAAGACCAAAAAAATTGAGTTTCGTTGTGAAGTTCTGAAACTAGTTGAACGTATGAGGAACACACAAACCATACATCACCCGAACTTTCCATCTCACACGTATCCAATTTCACACCCTCACCCTTATATCCCTCAAGCTTCTCTTCACTCTTACACAAACTTGTAATCTTCTCAATCTTACCAATCCCCCCCCCAGTCCACATCCACTATTTACAGAGTTTCACCTCCAACACCTTTACCTTTCCCTCAAATGACCGAACTCCGAACAGTTGCTTCCTCATCTTCACCAGCCACTGATGTTAATATAATGTCTCCAACCGAGTCAACTTCTATTATCTAAGATCAAGATGATAGTTTGGATTTATTCTCGTAAAAATAATACTTACAGTTGAGAGTTTGTATTTTTTAATAAAGAATAATGTTTATATTCGTGAAAAATAAATGCAGTTAAACACAAAAATAATTTCCTTCTTCACTTACCTCAAAGTTACAGCTAGCATTTCCAGTGTTGGAATAGAAAGTCTCATCCAGGTGTCTTGAGATTTGATTTTGTCTGTAATTTTTGCTGCAAGCTCGTCAAATGATTTAACAATCATTCTGAAATAATTTTCTCGTGAATCTGCGAAGGAAGTACGGAATCTACCCCTAGAAAGTCTTATATCTGTGTAGGGATGTACCCAATAACGTCTGTCTCGTTTGCCAAGGTACTTTTTGTACACAAGGTAAACAAAAACCATTTTTCTGCGATGGTCGTCCATAGTAACCAATCGAGTGTGCATTGAAATGATCCGGCTCCGCAACGACGCCGGAGTAGGGTGCATTAAATTGATCCGGCCCCGCAACGGATCCGCAACTTGAAAAATCGGTTGTCTACACCTGGTCTAAAAGCTTATTATGCTGGACCAGCTGGACCAGTTCTCATCCAGAACAGGTTCTCTCCATTTACCATGTGGTTGGTCTCTTTCCCACGGCATTTGCAAAACCTGCTACTGTAGATATAGCAAGAGAGGACTTTCGGTCTACAGGAATGTACCCACTAGATGAAAATATTTTTTCGGGCGTGGATTTTATGCCAGCGGAAGTAACAGCAAGATTTAGGTGAACATTCAGACGATGAAGGTCATGTTTTTATCCAGTTTCAGCAAGAAGAAGAAGAACTTGTTACTGATGCGATAGAGCCCCAGCCGTCATCAAAATCGGAAGTCAGAATTTCTGTACCTGGTCCTTCAAATATTGAAAAAGAAACTTTTACTGACACGAAAGAGCTCCAGCCGTCATCAAAATCATAATAGTCAGTAATTTCACCTCCAGACATTATTCCCTTCCCAAAAATTAAAATAAAAAGGAAACAAACCAGGAAAAGTTTGAAGTCAACCCGACTAACATCAACACCTAATAAGGAGCGACTTTTACAATAACAAGAAGAAAAGAAGGAAGCAGAAGAAAAGAAGGAAGCAGAAAAAGAGAAGGAAAGGAAAGCATTACTGAAGAATCAAAAGATTAGATCAAGTGCTGTCAAAAAAAAAAGTTTTCGGCGAATCATCATCTGATGAATCAGTAGCACTCTCCTATCAAGAAAGTATTGATTCTTGTGACATTCATTTTTCCGATAACGATAAGGAGGAAGACATTGATGTTGTACCAAATATTTTACCTGATGACTTTGTCGTAGTGAAGGTTTTTGGAAAAAAATCATACAGATTATTTGTCGCCAAAGTCTGCCAAGTAAATGATGATGGTTATGAAGGCGTATTTTTTAAGCGACTGCCCACAACATTTCGTTTTCGTGAGACAACGGAAGAGTTTTAAACTGTTATAATTTCTGAAGACGACAGGAGATAACGAAACTGAGTGTTTTTGCCCCCCAACTACCCTATGAATAGAAATCTTCAAAAATCTTGTGGCGCAAAAATCCAGAACAAAGTATCAAAGAATATGTTCTGAACACTGTTACCTAAGGATGAGATGTTTTAAGGAAGTTGGTAATCAGAACTTAGAAAATGCCCTAAAGGCCGCACAAGCTATTTTACATCATTTTTATGTTGACGATTTTGTATATTCTCTTGAAGAGACAGTTCAGTTATGTAATGATGTGTCATCATTACTGGAAGCGAGTGGATTTCCACTGAGGAAATGGATTAGCAGGAGATCCGCAAGTTACCAAAAAAATTAATGTCAATTTATCTAAATTGTAAAATGTTCACTTCGGTGAAAAGGAAGAGAACAAAACGCTTGGTTTGTATTGTTGTTTTAGGTTAGATATACTCAAATATAGTATTGAGTTTACAAAGTCAGATAAAATAACAAAACGATCAATTTCGTCTGATATATCAAAAATATTTGATCCACTTGGTTCATTGGGTCCTTATGTTATTATTGCCAAGATGTTGTTACATACCTTATGGACATTAAGGGCCTGTTTCACCAGTGACTGATAAAGTTTTAGATAACAATCTGGTAGATAAAATATCTACTAGATAAAAGTGTCTGATATAAGGTTTTCTGTTTCACCACCCAAGTTTCTGTTATAATATCTGAGAGATAGATATCTAACAGCTCATCAGTTGAAATAAGTGGCAACGTTGCCTATTTTGGAGTTCTGTGGGTTTTGTACATCGACATAACCTTAATCGTTATGTCGAACTATACTGACAGTTGAAACTGTTGACATTGTAGTGTGGTGTATGTGAATTTGAATAGTAGAAATGAATAAAAAGCGGGACAGAAGCGTAAACTTTACGCGGGAAGAAACTGAGAAACTCGTATCACTAGTGGAGGAAAAAAGGAAGATAATAGAGAATAAAAAAAGCGATGTCACCACTTGGAATGAAAAAGAAGGTGCCTGGAAAGCAATCGAAACAGAATTTAATTGTTCTTCGAGTGAAATATTTAGAAATGCCAAAGTATGACATGTAAGTATGACGCGCTGAAGAGGGACACCAGAAAGAAGGCCAGCTTTGTGAAGGCAGAATTATATAGAACTGGTGGTGGAACTAGTAAAGCACCCCCTTTGACACCAGTAGAAGAAAAGGTGAAAGAAATGATCTTACTGTCTGTTGAAGGAGAGTTGGAGGAGAAGTTTGTATGACTCTGATAAAATCAATAACTTTGGTAAGCACTTATTTATGTATATATAAATGGTTATTTATCTATCCTGCTTGGTTATTTATTTATCATATTTGTAACACATACTTTTTACTTTTCAGAAACGACAGAAATAGCTACTGAAATCCATGTCGAGAGCTCACCGCCATTTCCTATTGAAGTTGATGAACTAGTAGTTGTTGAAGACGCATATGAATCGCTCTCTCCCCCTAAAAAAAAATATCAAGATTTCTTATTTTTAGGGAGAAAATGAATGTTATCTCAATATTACAGAACGGGTGAATACTGAATATATTTATATTTTAGGCATATGCACTTTCCAGAATTGGGGGTGGGTGTTGAAGTTAGTATGTTGGCAATCCTGTAATTGACATGTGTCATCTGTTAGTTTTTTAGCTCTGTACTCGTGGGAGTTGCATGTTGTATGTTATGTCGACGAAGTGATTACTTATTAAAACGTTTATCAAGGTGTGCCTTATTTAATTGCCCAGTATCTATTTGATGGTATTTCAAGGCGCAGTTCAACAAGAAGAAGGTGGAGATGATAAAATGTTGACTCCGCCAAAGAATTGAACTGTAGATACAAAGTGTCAATTCTTGTTGGTTTAAGATATAAAATGACAAAATCCAGTTATATTATTTGATTTTCATTTTATAGGTATACCAAAGGAAAGGAAACCCTACAATAAGTTGATAGAGGCGAAATTGGAAGTGGCTTCAATACAAAAAGAACTTGTTGAGGAGGAATTGTCAATATTGAGAGAAGATGCTGTGCATAAACGCATCATGAGAGAATTAGAAGTTGAACACATGCATCTAAAAATTAAATTATTGAAGGCTGATTTAGAGAGAGCCATAAAAGTAAATGTGTTTAAGTTGAAATAAAAAAATCCATGTTCAGTTTTTATATTTTAATAAAGTATCTAAAAAGTAGAAGCCATATTAGTTTTTAATTTAATAAAGTAGTAAAATATTTTGCTATAATGTTGTTTCTCACAGAATTCCTATTGTTTCTGCCTGTGTCAATGTATACATAATCGTCAACATCATCAGCTGGTAACTCGTTGTTGTCAAAATATTCATCGCCACAAATTATTGCTATATTATGAAGCACTGCACAAGCCACAATTATGGCTTGTACCTTTGTTTAGTGTAATGTGATTTTCCTAGATAAAACTGGAAATCTATTTTTCCATACACCATATGATCTTTCAACTGTATTTCGTGTTCTTATCTGGGACTCGTAAAAATGTTCAGCTTGCGTAATGGGGTTGTGTAGCGGTGTTAATAAATAATGTGTGTTCTCATAACCTTTATCTCCTAACAGAAAATTATTTCCAAATTCGTTGTTAATTAATCGGTACTTGATTTGTGAACTATTGAAAATGCTTTGATCGTGGCACGAACCAGGCCATCTTGCCACTATGTCCATTATTTTCAAATCGGAGTCGACTACGGTTTGTACATTTATAGAAAAATTGCCTTTTCTGTTTCTATAGTATTCAGCAATTTCTCCACCTACAAAAATAGTGTAAAACTATTGTTTGATTAAAATATAACTTTATTTCTCATACCTGGTGATTTAATATTGACATGGGTGCAGTCTATAGTTCCTATCACTCTCGGAAACCTTGCTATGTTATAAAATCCCTCTTTCACGGATTGCAGGTTTATTGGAAATTTTACAAATCTTGGTCTCAGTTCTGCTATTGCTCTGGATACTTTTGAAATTATTCTAGAAGCTGAAGCTTTGCTTACACCACTAAAATCTCCAGATGTTATTAAAAATGATCCTGTAGCATAGTAGCGCAGCGTTAACAACAATCGATTCATAGGTGATATAGCGAAATTACTGAAAGAAAAATTGAGTTTTTCAATGAACAGATATACATACATACGTATATGATGGAATTGGGCGATTCTTAATGAAAATCTATAAATAACGTATTTTGAATAGGACAAAAAGTACTTACAAGTTGGTCACTGTAGTTATGTTTCCTTCTATCAAAGATAATACATAAGTAACAGATGGTTTAGAGAGTCGAAATCGAGCTCTGAAATCTGTTTCATCAAGTTCAGTGAAATAATTTGGCCGATTTCTAATTACAGGGCGTCTGCGAGGGCGCATAACAGGATTTAATAGATATTCATCAAACTCATCTTCTATAAATTCGAATAAATCCATCGTTAAAATCTGTCAGATAGTATTTATCACGCGCCAAAACTGAATATTAGGTTACTAACCACCTTATGAACCAGATATAACTATCAGACACTTGTGAAACGTATAAAATGAGATATCTATCAGATAAGTTGTGATTAAACTATCAGGAACTTTATCAGTCACTGGTGAAACAGGCCCTAAAGGTAAATTGGGACGAAACATTGCTGTCTGACATCCATACACGATGGTATCAATTGAAAAATCAATTTAATTATCTTAATGATTTACAAATTGCACGCCATGTAGTTTGTGCAAATCTTACTAAGTTGGAAATACATGGCTTTGCTGACTCCTCTTTAAAGGCTTACGGGTCATGCGTATATATAAGAAGCATAGATGAAAGAGGCAATATTCACGTTTGTTTGGTCGGTTCTAAGGTAAAGGTAACACCGTTAAAATCTCAAACAATTCCACGATTTGAACTGTGTGGTGCCTTAGTTTCAGCTGAATTCATAACCAAAATTAAAAGTTCTCTAGACCTTCAATTTTCAAAAACAGTGCTCTGGTCTGACTCAACTGTGACGTTGTGTTGGATTGATACTTCACCACATTTATTACCGACCTTTGTCGCTAATAGGGTCTCGCAAATACAGAATCTCGTTGATCCGAAAGATTGGCGGTATATTAAAAGTGAAGACAACCCTGCAGATCCTCTGTATGTGGTTTAAGCCCTGCGAGAATCGTTGATTGTGAAATCTAGTGGAAAGGTCCAAGTTGGCTTTCACTTGCGGAGGAAAAATGGCTTTCATCATTTGTAAAAAGGATTGAGCCAGAAATAAAAAAAAAGGTTCATCTTGTCATGCAGTACAAAAAAATCTCATATTTTCCATTTGGAAAATTTTCATCGTTACCTAAAATGAAACGCACATTGGCTTATTGTTTAAGGTTCATTCACAATTGTAAAAGTAAATTTGATAAACGTTATAATTGAAGACACTATCGGAAGAAAATAAGCAGGATCTGAACGAATTCGACGTGTTTTGTGACAGCCTTGCTATACAGTTGAAAAAAATGCCCTTAGATAGGGCTCTTATCTGTCAAGGACAGCTACAGAAAGTGATGACAGAAGAACGACTCTTCCAACTCACATCACACCCTCAGTCTCACTCATCCATGTCATCCAGGTCACCTGCTGATTATCCACAGTCGATAGCAACTTCAGGCCGGTACTCTGCGATGTCATCAACGCAAAGCAGCACACATTCACGGCAGTCACAAAACCATTACTACCAATCTACCGAAAAAGATGCCGATTATGAAAACAGTGATGTTTTGTCCGATGCCATTTCTTCAGCGGGAATAATAGTTGATGATTTAATGGCTTTATAATTTATCTTACGTTATTTTATAGAAATAAAACATATTTTCAAAATTACTTGAAACTTTGTATACTATAAACTTTTTATTCTACCGGCAGACAGCTTTTGCTATTGCTGGTATTAAATACTTTTTCTCCTACTGTTTTAAAGTTCAATTATTGTTTTTTTTTAATTAATGTTCTTCTTTTTCTTTTTTTGTACCCCATCTATTTCATGTAAATAAAGTATGTGTTTCATTCATTCAACTTTTTATTATGTTAACCTATGAATGAATTAAACTACAAGATATTAAATTTCTACTTACCATTATAAAATCTGCCAAACAGGCAAAAACCGTGAAAATGTGCTTCTTGGAATTCTGTACAGTGCACTTAAGGTACCTATATTATCTCCAGTCGCTAGATATCGTAGCGTCATTTGCAGTTTTATTTTAGGGCTTAAAGCTGCTCGGAACCAAGTATCGTTTTTTCTTATCAACGGAGTTAGTTTGTCTAGAAGATATGCGAATTGCTCCTCGTTCATTCTTAAATGATTTCTATACACCTCATGATTTTCCTCTGCCCATTCTCTTAACAGGGTTGACGAAGCTCCCAGATTTGTCCTCCTTGAAACCCATGGCTTCACCCACCAACGTCTTTGAACATGTTTACGTGATATAATAGCATTCAATTCATGCAGCAGTCCACGTGAAATTAGGGCAATGCCTCTGCGTATAATTTTTTGATTTCTTCTTGAACGAGACATCACTTTTCACAGACACGAACACTGTGCACGAGAGGTGAAACCAGCAAACTGTAGAAAACATGTAAACGAGGATGATCACCCTGGATGATTTCACTCTGAGTGATTCACTTTGGATGCACCTCAAAAGTGATATAATGTAAACCCCACTTTAAGTCCATTTTTGAATGAATCACATCTACTTAGGGTGGGGGGAAGACTTCAACTATCAGAATTGAGAAACATCCCCTAGTTTTTTCATCAAAACATCATTTCACCTATCTTTTAGTCAAATTTGAATATCAACGATTGCTTCATGGTGGTCCTCTCATGTTATTAAGTTCAATAAGGGAAAATTTCTGGAATATTGGAGGTAGGAACCTAGCCAGAAGAATGGAATTCGAATGTATTAGATGTTTTAGAACTAAACCAAAGTGTATTTCTCAATTTATGGGTATTCTTCCCGAAGAAAGGGTTCGTCCAATGCCACCCTTTTTCACCACTGGAGTGGATTATGCAGGTCCTTTTTTAATTAAAGATAAACCTGGTCGTGGTGCAAGACCCTCAAAATCCTGTTTGTTTATATGTCTGTTTCTCCACTCGAGCAGTCTATTTAGAGTTAATTTCCTCCCTTACATCTGAACCATTTATTACTACATTCAGAAGATTTTACTCGCGTAGAGATAAACCAAATTATTTATTTATTTATTTATTTATTTTGGAAAATTTTCATCGTTACCTAAAATGAAACGCACATTGGCTTATTGTTTAAGGTTCATTCACAATTGTAAAAGTAAATTTGATAAACGTTATAAAAAAACAAAAACAGCTTCTCTAGTGTTCTCTGTATAACTTTATAACTTGAGAAGGACAAGAGTCCCTGCAAATTTCGTTTGACCATTGTACTGTTCCCATGGTAGTTACTTTTTTTCTCATCTAATTGTCTCCATATCTGTTGCGGTTCAGAATATACCAATGTTAGCACAAAAGAGACAGAGCTGATTGGTTCGGCAGATATCCTCTTTTTCTGCACAAACCTCAGGTTGGAAAACATCAGGTGGTTATAAAAGCAGAGAAACACGTTAGTTACTACGAGTAAATTAGGATCCCCAAAGTAAGTAACTATTTTTTGATCCTTACCTAGTAATACTGAGCACTCGGAGACAAGTAACTTAATATGCGAGGATACAAGCTCCTGAGTTGAATGTATCAAAATTAGTAATAATTATTATTTTGATGTTATTTCCAAACAGCTGTTTCAGAAGATTTTGTTTACATTTCACATTCACATCTATTTGGTTCATAATTTGTCGCTCTTCAAATTATTTTCCTTTACGTATTCAATGAGTTATTCGGTATTTGGAAATTTTCTATTCTGCAAAATTCCTGCTTGTATGTTGCCTTACCTTTTACTAACCATTTTGGATCTGGGATATGGATCTGGGAACATACTTCGAAACTCCTTTACTTCACATACATATACGAATAAAAGCAATTCATTTCATTAATGATCCTCATTAATTGTGACTCCGACTATTTTAAAGCTTCGCATGCCATTAGATATTTTTTTGGCAAATATTTCATTGATGATTCTACTCAAAAACTTCCTCCCATTTCTGTGGTAACTCACCATTACGCGCTTCTTGATTTGCAAATCTGCCAAACGACTATCTACTTCCCTCTTTCCAGGGAAGTTATTATCCACGTAATACGACAACCTTTCAAATTTGCAGTTCTGCCTATTTCAGTTCTATTGATATTTAATTGGCCATTACAGGTTATGTTATCTCGCGGAAGTCAAGTTATGGAAAATGACTCTTACTGCTCCAATAGTTGTTTGTAAATTTATAAAATAGGTAGGTGATGGATGAAATGGAAAAAGTGAAAGTCTGCTTATTTTTTATATCTTATTTCAACAAATTGAATATGACTTTGATATCAATATTTAATGACCACCATGCCCATGTCCGCTATCACCACTATGTCCATGCCCATGACCACTATGTCCGTCTCCACCATGACCATGACCACCATCTCCGTGTCCGCCATTTCCATGTCCATGTCCACCATCTGCATGTCCGTGTCCATCACTTCCTTGATTGCTCCAGTGGGTTACTCCAATGTAACTGGTGCCTCCCTTTCCACCGTGTTCTTGTCCATGTTTTCCATGTTTGCCATAATGGGCGGGATGCTGAGCGTGCCCTCTTCTTTCTACTACAGCCTCGAATCCTTTGTGGGGTCCTGATTTGTACTTTACAATCCTGTGGGTACCGTCGGCTTCCTTCAGAGTGTACCCTCCGGTAACGTGTTTTCCGTCTCTGTGCTCGTGATGGGATTTGTGATCGTGGGTGTGGGGGTCATGGACTCCATATTCGAATTTATAATGAGCATTGTCCTGGAAGACAAAATTTGATAAAGTACACAAATTCAAAAAACACTTCATTGTGAGAGTTTAACAAAAAGACAACACGTGTTTCGCTATACAATAGCTCCTTCAGGCGTATTTCATTGGTTCGGACTTCCATTGTCTGATATTATATAAAATGATTTGAAATTCCTGAAGGAACTAATAAAAAAAAGAATGAAAAAGAATAGCTGAAAATAACAATCATTTTGAGCAAAAAACCTGAAATGAAATAACAGAGAAATAAAATACAAGCAAAAATAGAATAATTGAACAAAAATTAAAAATAATAAGAAGTTAAGAGATTCCAAGCCAAGTTANCATATTTTTTCAGTTTCGTATGCTATAAAAGCGCGTTTTTTAGTCTTTTGAAACTATATTTATTTTATCTAAACTTTGGGATCAATGAGCCGTAGGTATATTGTTCAGAAAAATGACAATTGATATTTTTCGACTCCAAAGAGGGAGCCTGAAAATCAGCTACCAAGCCAAAGGCAACAGGCGCGCAAAGGAGGGTTACAAGTAAGGCAACAGGCGGGCGTGTTAATAAAAATAAAGACTTTTTCCAAATGAAGAAATACATGTAAAGTGAGTTCGAATTATATCAAGGAGGTTATGTACTTATGTACAGCGCCATTTGCCCGCGAATAGACCAAGCAATAATATCGATAATTCTGTCAAATACAGATGAATACAGGTGAAGCTAATAAAAGCGTGTTAATAATTAATTGAAAAAAGTAAACTATTCGGCTAGAAATTGAAGTAGAGAGAGGCAGTTATCAGAGATTCATCAAATCAGGAAACCACAGTCAAAATGGGAATATTTTTCATTCAACTCACATGTCCTCCTGCTCCTCCTCCATGATGACCAGCTACAGCTAATCCAATTAGAACTGAAGCCACAAATGTTATCTGAAAGAAGTAGAAAATATGAAATTTTCTAAAAACAATTCTGTGATTTCCATGCACTGGGTCTTAACTAGTTATTTTGATCAAGATTCATTAAAATTTAATCTACAACAACGATAATGTTGATGGAATATCAATAATTGATGTTGATTGTTCTTTTCCACTTTCATTATTTATCATTTTTTTAAACACGCGTCGATAATCAAGAAATCAAATTGATGAGTCGTATATGAATTCCTTTAATTCATTTTTGGGAAAGAACGGTTTACGTTTTCTACTTCTCCATCTTTATACAAAAAAAGTGGGAATCTTCCAAAGAAAGGAAAAGAGCAAACGATTTCTTAACAAAATCACTGAATACCTACTGTTTTCATTTTTGATGTAAATGCACCAAGTACACTGATAAAAGTTTCCTAGTTACTGTCAATTTATACACGATTAGCTGCTTCTGATAAAAACCATAACCAAAATCAGTTCATAGCCTTTATCAAATTGGTTACATGCCAAATGTTTTGCTTCATCGAGTGTATCAGCTGCATTAGTTTCGACTATGATGAGGGTTATTTCATACAATTTAGTCCATATCAATTAGTCGCGATTGGGTAATACTTGTAAAAGATCAGTCTATAACATGTTGTAACATTCTGCCTTAAATGACAAAGAAAAAATGTGATACATCAATATTCATTCACAATGTTAACAGCAAGACTTGTGATATATCGTTTGAAAAGTCTCCTCATTCTCTATTAAAAAATGTTATCGCTTTCAAGTTCATTGCAACAATCAAGATAAAAATAAATTAAAATCATGTGGTTACCGACATTCGATAAAATATACTCAGAACTTATTGCAATATACTGAAAACTCATGTTGAGGTATGGATAATAAGAAAGTGAGCAAAAACCATAGTAATGTTATTTTTAGATGGTATCCTTTAAAAAAACTGTAAATAGTTTCCGTGACAAGGTCAGTTTAAAACGTTTCGTCAACTTATTTTGTATGTTACAACACTAGCTGTCAGCATTTCAATTTGAGTTTGGAGTTCATTAACTTCAAGTCTGACAAATGGTTAGATTAACGGAAATGCATAAAATAACAGTTTTACAAATGATTGGTTACGAAGATAAAACCCAAACACAACAGGAAGCATCTCACCTATTTCATGAGGAATTTTCGAATTTACCGCCCATATCTCAAGGAACAATAAGTAAAATTGAAAAGCAGTTGCGCGAGCTTGGTCATGTGGGGCAGATGAAAAAAGCAGCTGCCAATGGAGTGATGAACTCAAATTGGATGTGATGCTTGAGTTTGAGAAAACCCCACATACATCGAGAAGACAGACACCCACTACATTCAATGTTAGCCACACATCGATAGTAAACATATTAAAAGAAAATAAAATGCATCCCTATAAAATGATACCTACTTAGGAGCTCATGGAAGACGATTTCGATAAAAAAAACTTATTTTTGTGAGCAAATGATGGACATGTTGGATAACAGTATCATCCAATTAATGGGTGATTTTTTAAGAGGTATAGTATTTGATTTTCAAAACAATACAAAAAATTTGAAAAAATTGATGAAATCTCTATTGGAATCGATAGAACAATGTTTGAAGTTGTTGTTTGTAATGTTGTTGTGTTGTAATGTTGTAATGTTTGAAAATGATTTCATAGAAATGTTGTCTTCGGCTCCGCTTTAGATGGCCCATGCGCAAGGTCTAATTTTGGCACACTCTCTCTAACATATCGCCCGGTATTTTACGTATAAATGCTTCAATATTGGCTTCCAGAACGTCAGTGGTTGCTGGTTTATCATGTAGACATTAACCTTGACATGACCCCACAAGAAATAATCCAAATGCGTTAAATCACACGATCTAGGCGGCCAATTGACGGGACCCCAACGTGAGATAAACTGTTCACAGAAGGCGGCTCTTAATTGGGCCATTGTTTCGCATGGCGTGTGGCATGTGGCACTGTCTTGTTGAAACCACATATCAGGCATGTCAAATTCTTCCATTTTGGGCAACAAAAAGTCTTCAATCATCACACGGTAGCGCTCGCCATTCACAGTAACGTTCCGGCCATTGTTGTCTTTGAATAAGTACGGCCCGATGATGCCACCGACCCATAATCCACACCAAACAGTGACTTTTTCGGGATGCATCGGTAGCTCTTGCAATGCTTGTGGCTGGTCTTCACTCCAGATGCATCAATTTTGCTTGTTAACGTATCCTTTCAACCAGAAATGAGCCTCCTTGTTGAACACAATTTTTCGATGAAAATTTGGATCTACCTCCAACTTTACCAGCGCCCATTCACCAAATATTAGACATTGTGGGAGGTCGTGTGGCTTCAATTCTTGCACCAGCTGTATCTTATAAGGTTTTACTCCCAAATCCTTTCGCAAAATTTTTCACGTAGCCCAATTGAGTCTCTAGTAAGAGTGAAAAAAATCTATCTACCAGATTATTTTCCTAAAATTTTATGAGGATGATGTACAAAAAAATATCGTGCAGAAAGTACTCACAGAGAAATGTTGAGGAAGCGGGTAGAGTACAGATAAAATCTACCAAGAGATGTTCCAATCAGAAAAACGAATTGGCCTCTCGATGCAACAACTATTGGAATTGTGCCCCAAATGTATTTACGGGAAAGTTGTACAACGAAAGTCCTTGATCAGAAAATTGTAAATTTTTAAAGGTGAAGAGATGAATTTGTCGGGGAAGTCAAATGCCTGGGAGTGATACTAGATCTCATGCTGACCTGGAACCAACATCTATTAGATCCACACCGTGTTAATGCATATGCACTTAGGGTCTGATGGCCAAATATTCCACAAACGACTGCTGGTTGCAGAGACTTGCGTCTTTGGGAATAACCCACTCCTGCATAGGAGACACTCTTGGGAGAAGCAAGGGTGGGCCAATTTAGACTAGAAGTCACCAAGTTAGTTGGTATTGGGCAAAACAGAAATGTTATCAGACCGCATAACACCAGAAGATGAAATTTTTAACCTTGAACAGTGAGGAATGAATATTTATCCTAAAAACATGCTCAGCAGGAACACCTGTTATTCAGCCGGGTACAAAACCGAACCTGGAATACTTCGGTGTGAACTGTATGCAAAGAACAATAATTTGAGGTCTCAACGAAATGAGAGGATAGACGGACAGGCTGCACTTGAGTCACTGAAGTACCCAAAAATGACATTCAGACTAGCCTGGGAATTTCGTTAGGAACTGAGAAAACTGGTGCACAGAAATAGATTGACTATATTATTCTGGCACCACAGGCAAGGAAAATGCTGACGAGTGTGCCAGACACGGCACACTAAATATATGGACCCCGAACTGAGTGTGGAACCATATTGGAAAGTTGCCCGTGAGGAGAACCAAAAAACTGCTTCAACAAAGCAGCGATCGGTTCAGAAAAATTACAGGGCTACTCACTGGATACTGTCTATAAAGAGGACACCTGAACAAAATAGGACTGTATAACGGAGACCTTAACTGCAAGCAATGCAACAAATTTTATGTGGATGTTAGTGAGGCACTACACAGTAAAAATTATTATCTCGATTTAAAGAAATCTTGCTCTCCTATATTCATGAAGAAATATTTTTATAAACTGAGAAATATATTCTCTCACGTTGAATTTGAATCATTAATTCAAATGGACTGAATGAACGCTTCTTTCAAGTAAAAAAAAATATTCCACCAAGATTGTGCATACATTTCAATAGAAATCATCACATTAGCTCAAGAGAAGTAAGTATGCATTCTTTAGTGGGAGCAAAATTAATCTCGAAGCAAAACTTTTTTGGGTTTTGAAAGAATGATATGTTAACTTGGAACACTATTTAAATATCTCCGTAGGAGAAATTAATTGTTTTCCATTTTTCATTACGACGCTTTTATTTGTATAAAACAAATAAACTGATTTACTTCATCAAAGATGAACGTATGCTTCTGTTTATAAACTATCCCTCTCATACGGATGTCTTTCGTTACTTGAATCCAAAATATCTCATCTGTAATATGAACAGCTATAAGTAGTATGGGAAAAAATTAAATAATACAATATATATTATGATTGGTTTATTTGAAGCAATTGCAAATCATAAATATTATACTGAAAAAGCATATTATAAAAAACAAAACTCAATAGAGAACTAAATTTTTTTGCTAATCTTTGCTCAAATGTCATATTCCAACCGCACACTATTGAGAGATCATACAGTTATACAAATAACAGAAATAGATATTCAATCCGAAAACATATATAAAAAAAAGTGACATATTCTTGACAAATTAACAAATAAAATAAAATCGAGGACAACAAAATGAATTAATTTATTAGTAATTTAACACAAATAAAGTTTTCAAAACTAGATGCCATTCTGGTAAATAACATTAAAAAAATTACTATCCTCTATCAAGTTCTGCATTCTGCTTTTGTTTATCCATAATTGCCGGAATATCACTTGGATTCTGAAATGGAAGAAGAAATCAGCACATCATCGTTAGCCACTATTTCAAATATCTATAGAAAGATAAAACTATGAAACTATAAAAACATTCACTGTTTTCTTGTTTTTGGAAATTTTGATTTCTCCTCTAGTGAGTTTGGTAATATTTCTACCTATTTCATACATTCCTAAAAGAAATATAATAAATAATTTCAAGCTGAGAAGCGGAAATTCAATTTGTTCCCAATGAATAACATAAAAACATTTCTGAAGGAATTAATACAGAAAGCAAAGACATTTCGGAATTCAACAAACATTTACATGTTGAAATCAGAAAGTAACTGTCATATGTAGGTGCTTTTTAACACCTACTGGTGCCTATTTTGGTATTTTTGTATTATAATTTATTGTCGAAACTCTCTCGTTCAATAAAAAATGAATTCGGTCTAAGAGAAAAGAAATTTTATTTAGAGAAAATACACTTATTTAAAACAAGATAAAATATATGTTCAAAACAAGAGATTGGCGAATTTGAATCAACGTCGAGGATTTTTCAGTTCAAATTAATACACACTTGCAGAGCTCGGCAAATGTAATAATGCATGTGCGAAAAATTACGAAGCATTAATATAATTTTTGCAAAATGAGGACAAAATTAAGAGTTGCTGTCAAAATTTACCATTTTCTCCTCGGTAATAGGTATACAACGCAGTATTTACTGATATAGCGGAGTTTCTTTCTCAAGTAACCCAAACATCTCAATTTTATCAAATTATAATACTTACCCATGAAAATATCTTTCAACTGTGTAAGATCCTAGTCTTGTAAAATCTGTTCCATTATGGTAGATACAAAATAATCGGAAAAGAATCGCACTACCTACAGACACATAAAACACTTCCTCCTTAAAATCACAACACACCAACGTCACTTTCCAACACTTACTGGCGCGTACGCGAACACTGTTTTACATTGTTAGTTTCTCATAATACTGAATTTAAATTCTTTTCAATAATATCTACGTTCAAATAAAACAGTTCTTTTCAAACTGAAATGAATGAAATACTTCTTTAAAAGAAACTCTGTTCATTCTATGAAAAATTCCTGTTATCTTCAGTCGATCATAATATAGTTTTGTATATAGATTCACAAAA